TATTGGAGAAACTCACCCAGCGTCGTCATATCTGTATTATTGTTATGGTTTGGAATAACTTTCGGAACATGGTTTGGAACATGTTTCAGATTCGATGGACTGGAGTTGTATTCGTATGATGATGAAAAGCGGTGGAACGAACCGTCTCCGTGTGATTGATTATTTTTCAATTCTAGTGCAGATTGTGGACTAGTAAAAGTCATAGAAAAATTAGAAGCATTGTTATCATTCGTGGAACATAACGTTTTTCCGGTTTCTCTATTTGCTTGACTAGATGTACAAATGTATTCGGGAACGACAACGTGATGTTGGTTCACTATAAGATGTACATCGTCTTCGATAGTTTTCTCGGTTTTTTTCATAACATTTTCTACAAAAACATAGTAATATTGTTGTTATTTGGAATATCGAAATAAATCTTTTTTTTTCTAACTTTTTTAGAAGACCTTAAATTAATTATGATGCTATTGAATGAAACACAAACAAATACCCGAGAACAGCTATTACAGAATTTTGCAAAACACCAAATACTATTTTCTTTTATAATAAAGCACAATAACACACTATAAAATACTACATCCAAATAAAAGATTTATATAATTTGATCATACAAATGATAGAGGTGGGAGTTGAAAAGTTTAAACGGGTAGAACACCATTGCGTACGAATTCGTATTGCAACGTTGTCAAATATATTCTATATACTCAATAATTATCCAGTATTATAATTTTATCAGAAATTTAGAATAATATTACTAATAAATTAAATTATAGTTAAAATTAATTATTTTAAAATACCTAAATTTGAATTTCTTAACATCTATAACCTTATACTTTCAAATACTACAATAAATTTGTATGGATTTTACAATCATCATACTTTCATACTATCAATCAAGGCTATGGCCTTTATACTGTTTTAAATTCGAATAAAATACTATTTTGCCATTTTCTTTATTTTCCTGTTATTAATTAATTGTATAATCGATCTAGTCTATTAAAATTTAAAAACAATAACTATTTTCATTTTTCGGATTTTATAAGTTAATAGAATTTTATATTACTAAACGTCGATAAAATATACACTCGTGTGATGATCAATGGCAAACTGCAGGGAGAAAATACCTATATATTTGAAACAAAGAAATTTTCAGTATGTTAAGATGTATTTTATGTTGCGTTGATATCATTAAAAAAAACATTTATGGAAAAACAAAAAATATATATACATTTTTTCTAGTTCAGTCGTATGATATATTATACCAGTATGAAAATTAGCAACATCGATTTAAATTTCATACGCAATCATGTGACCAAAGATTAGGTAACGTCTTAGGCAATCGTGTAGCTTAAACAGATATCAAAGATAATGAACGTACGCAATCGTATTTTACCCAGTTAAAACTCCTAATTGGCACATCCTAGATATTAAACCATGCATAGAAAATTGTACACCCCTGACCTCATCAAGAAAGTCTGTTGGGGTGTAGAATTATCGATTAAGTTCACCCAGTGCACAAAGTTAAAAATCACTCTCCTTCCGCGACAATACAATTCAATTTATATTGAAATTCAACTCAACTTTTATCACTTAAGTCTACCTATATAACAACAGCGAAACCGCAAAAAATGTTCAAAATTAACGTAAAAAGATATATATACAAGATAATATGTAAAACTAATTGTTAATACCATTCAAAATATAGTGACTATATAATATTAAATTTTGGATTCTATTTCGGGTAAAATACGACAAAAAAAACAGCAAAATAAACTTTTCGATTTGTTGAAACAAGCCCTGAAATTGATGAACGGATAAAAATATTAGACTTGTGGTTCATTGACGGAAATAATATACATTTGATAAAACAAATACATTCTTCGATTTGCTTAGAATCTACAGAAACTGAAACTATTAAAATATTATTTACCTGTTTTTGGTAAAATAACCTTATCGGTCTTTATTTCCTTGTTCGGTGTCTTGAATATCGAATTGTGGTTTTCCGGATTTATGGGTTTACCGGCCTTTTCGAATTTTCGAATTTTAGAAATTACCCCTGAAATTGATGAACGGATCAAAATAGTATACTCGTTGTTCATTGACGGAAAAAATATACATTTGGTAAAACAAATACATTCATCGAATTGCTTAGAATCTACAGAAACTGAAACTATTAAAATATTATTTACCTGTTTTTGGTAAAATAACCTTATCGTTATTTATTTTGTTGTTCGGTGTCTTGAATATCGAATTGTGGTTTTCCGGATTTGTGGGTTTACTGACCGTTTCGAATTTCCGAATTTTAGAAATTACCCCTGAAATTGATGAACGNTATTATTTACCTGTTTTTGGTAAAACAACCTTATCGTTCTTTATTTCCTTGTTCGGTATCTTGACTGTCGAATTGTGATTTTGTGGACTTATAGGTTTACTGACCTTTTCGAGTTTTCGAATCGTTGAAATAACTCCTGAAATTGATGAACGGATCAAAATATTAGACTTGTGGTTCATTGACGGAAAAATTATTCACATGGCAAAACAAATACATTCATCGATTTGCTTAGAATCTACAGAAACTGAAACTATTAAAATATTATTTACCTGTTTTTGGTAAAACAACCTTATCGTTCTTTATTTCCTTGTTCGGTATTTTGACTGTCGAAATGGGATTTCGTGGACTTATAGATTTATTGACTTTTTCGAGTTTTTGAATCGTTGAAATTACCCCTGAAATTGATGAACGGATCAAAATATTAGACTTGTGGTTCATTGACGGAAAAATTATACACATGGTAAAACAAATACATTCTTCGATTTGCTTAGAATCTACAGAAATTGAAACTATTGAAATATTATTTACCTGCTTTTGGTAAAATAACCTTATCGTTATTTATTTTGTTGTTCGGTGTCTTGAATATCGAATTGTGGTTTTCCGGATTTATGGGTTTACCGGCCTTTTCGAATTTTCGAATTTTAGAAATTACCCCTGAAATTAATGAACGGATCAAAATAGTAGACTTGTGGTCCATTGACGGAAAAATTATACATTTGGTAAAACAAATACATTCTTCGATTTGCTTAGAATCTACAGAAACTGAAACTTTTATAATATTATTTACCTGCTTTTGGTAAAATAACCTTATCGTTATTTATTTTGTTGTTCGGTGTCTTGAATATCGAATTGTGATTTCGTGGACTTATAGGTTTACTAACCTTTTCGAGTTTTCGAATCGTTGAAATAACTCCTGAAATTGATGAACGGATCAAAATATTAGACTTGTGGTTCATTGTCGGAAAAATTATACACATGGTAAAACACAAATACATTCTTCGATTTGCTTAGAATCTACAGAAACTGAAACTATTAAAATATTATTTACCTGTTTTTGGTAACACAACCTTATCGTTCTTTATTTCCTTGTTCGGTATCTTGACTGTCGAATTGTGATTTTGTGGACTTATAGGTTTACTGACCTTTTCGAGTTTTCGAATCGTTGAAATAACTCCTGAAATTGATGAACGGATCAAAATATTAGACTTGNACATTCTTCGATTTGCTTAGAATCTACAGATACTGAAACTATTAAAATATTATTTACCTGTTTTTTGTAAAACAACCTTATCGTTCTTTATTTCCTTGTTCGGTATTTTGAGTGTCGAATTGTCATTTCGTGGACTTATAGGTTTATTGACCTTATCGAGTTTTCTAATCGGAGAAACTACCCCTGAAATTGATAAATGGATAAGATAGTATACTCGTGGTTCATTGACGGAAAAAATATACATTTGGTAATAGAAATACATTCTTCGATATGCTTAGAATCTACAGATAAAGAAACTATTAAAATATTATTTACCTGTTTTTGGT